TAGACATAGTAGGACCACTTCCAACAGCACCCGAGGGCAGAAAATTTTTTCTCGCAGCAACAGACTACTTCACAAAGTGGGTGGAAGCAGAAGCATTGGCGTCAATCAAAGAAAAAGATGTGAAGAAATTTGTTTGGCAGAATATTATCACTCGGTTTGGCATACCTAAAGCACTAATCTCAGACAATGGTACTCAGTTCGACGGCAGAATTTTCAGAAGCTTTTGTGAAGAGTACAAGATAGAGTTCTACAATTCCACACCGGCATACCCTCAAGCAAATGGACAAGCTGAAGCATCGAATAAAGTCGTCTTGGATGGACTAAAGAAAAGGCTAGAGAAAGCAAAAGGCAAGTGGGCAGATGAACTTCCTCACGTCTTATGGGCTTACCGCACCACTCCTCGGCGATCAACTGGAGAAACACCATTCTCCTTAGCCTATGGAATGGAAGCAGTGATCCCACTAGAAGTTGGCCTCCCCACAATTCGAAGCGAAAATTTTGATCCAGACTTAAATGGAGAAGCCATAGCCTTAGAACTCAACCTTGCAGAAGAAAGAAGAGAAAAAGCGCTAGTCCACATCGCCTCATACCAACGAGAGTTAATCCGAAAATACAGCAAAAAGGTTCATCCAAGACAATTCAAGATTGGGGATTGGGTACTACGCAAAGTAATGGGAAACACCTTGATCCCAGGAGACGGCAAGTTAGGCCCAAATTGGGAAGGTCCTTATAAGGTGGTGGGGTTAGCAGGCAAAGGGACATACCACCTAGAAGACAAGTATGGCAAGGCAATCCCTAGGCCATGGAATACGGCCAATTTCAAGTTATTTTACTTTTAGCTCTTCTTTTTTCAAACATGTGTAATTTTTTCTTCCTTCAATAAAATGAGAAATTCTTTTTAGCACAAATTACTCTTTGTAAAAGTTATCTTTAAAGACTAAGTATATTACAAGCATTCTATTCTAAGTTAGCTGGAAAAACTAACTTAGAGGTTGGCTGGATTAAACCAACACCCTTCCTAAGCCCAGGATAAGGATCCAGGCTGCAGGACATTTGGTCGGAATAACCAAATACTATAAGTTAGCTGGAAAAACTAACTTCAATAGTTGGCTGGAATAAACCAACACTTGTTACTCTTCAGCCGAAGTAAGTGTATGGCTGAAGAGTGGTTGGCTGGAATAAACCAACTCTTGTTACTCTCCAGCCGAAGTAAGTGTATGGCTGAAGAGTGGTTGGCTTGAATGAACCAACACTTTGTACTCCTCAGCCGAAGTGATTATATCAGCTAAGGAGTGGTTGGCTAGTAGGCATATTTTAACCAGCCTAAACCGAAATAACAATCGAAGTAATAGAAGACATTACAAAATGCAAGCATACACACAACAACCGGAATAAGAGTTGCGTAAAACTTTCATTCAAAGAAAAGTCATTACAAAGGGGCATACTTCGGTTACAAAGAAAAAAGTACAGAGTCAAGAAAAAAGATCTTCAATCTCGGCGTCAAAGGCAGCATCGGCGTCAACCTGAAGACCGGTTTCTGGCGCAGGGACGTTTTCACAAGGAAGAATGGTTTCGGCCGGAGCCACGGTTTCACTTGGTTGATCAATAGTTAGATCTTCCACCATGGGCTCCGACCGAACTACCTGACCTGCATTCACAACCAAAGTATCCTCAGGGGCAGTGTCTTCATCAGAATCTTCATCGTCAGAGCCCTCAAGGAACTGCTGTTGCATGGCCTTGGCATACTCCATCAGGGAGTTCGGTATAAAGTAGGCTGGAGGGTTGAAAACCTCGGTCTGAGGATCATGACCGAGCTTCTCAACGGCCCCCCTCCAGCCGCACTTAAAGAACAGCTCCTTGGCAGCATCACATTGTTTGGCGTAAGCATCCTCTGCCCTCTTGAAGCCTTGTTTGTCAGCCTCCTTCACCTTCTCCTTTATTTCGGCATCTTTCTTTCTTTCGAGCTTCACCAGCTCACGCAAGTACTTGTCCTTCAGAGCAATGGCAGTCTTTTGTTTTTCAGCTTCGACCGAACTAACCATTCCGGTCAGTCGGCCGACCTCGCCTCGGAGTTCGGCCATTTCCTTTCTGGCCTCTTCCAGTTCGGCCGACTTCGCCTCTGCTTCTGCCGCTGCTTGCCTAGTCACTTTCCTCAGCTCTAGCACTTTCCTGTGGGTGATTTGGTTTTTCTGAATGGCCTGACAAAGCAACAACTTCCCTTTAAGCCGAAGAAAAAGTTGAAAAGAAAAAGAAAAATAAACAGAAAAGCGACCGAAGTTACTAACCAGAATCATGGATTTAGTAGCAGACCGGATGGACTTCAGCTCGGTGGTTAACTGTTTTTGGTGATGCTCCATATCTTTGGGCAGACACACGCTCTTGGCCAGATTGATGGCCAACAGGTGGTCTTTCTCAGCAACAACCGAGTCTGTGCCTAGAATGTCTCGGTCGTTGAAAGTTAGTTTCGGTGCCTAGCAGCCGATGGTTCGGTCGGAAGACATCGGTTGGGGGCTTGGTGGTAAGCTCGGCTGAATAGCAGGTTCTTCATCAACCAAAACCTGTTCGGTTTCGGCAGTTCGGGCACGTTTGGTTCGGCGGGAGGAGGATGGCTGTTGAGAAGGGAGGGCCACAACAGCAGGCTGCGATTGACTGGGAGGCGTTACTTCGGGCCTAGTTGTTTCGGTGAGAAGGGCCCTAACTCTGCTCCTTTTCGCCATCTCTTCTTCTGCGGTTAGTGGAACAAGTCTTATCTCGGGCAAGGTTGGGTTCGGTTCAGGTGCTTCTTCAAGAAGGAAGTCAGTCACTCTTGCTTTTCGGCGACCGCTGTAGCGGTAGGTCGGCTCAAAATTCAGAAGCCTTGCCCAACTTCTTTCTTTAATCCGTAGGGCGGCTCGCAAAATTGCAAGGTTTGGATAACTGTATAAGGAATGAAGATGGGCGAAATCTGCAAAAAAGAGAAGTGTTAGTTCGGTTAACAGACTAACAAAAACCCAAATAAAATACAAGGAAGAGGGCCGAAGTTAAATTACCAGGCTCTCCCTTTTTCCAATTTATAGGTCGGCCAGGAATTTGGGCTTGAAAATCCTCAAAATTCCCAGAGACCGAGAAGAAGTCATCATCATTAAGGTCTTTGTCCGGTGTATGCTTAATTATCTTCTCTCGGCGGCGGCGGATCCTAAGGTAATAGACCCACCCAGCATCTTTTGAGCCTATGGAGTATTGATGGAAAATTTCGGCCAGGCCGAGGTTTAGTCCGGTTTGGTGGTTCAGTGCGGCTATTCCCATAATAATGCGGTATGTATTGGTGGACAGTTGGGTGGGGCATAACCTAGTCTGCCTAAGGAACTCACAGATCAATTACAGTAATTGCGAAAACAGGGGAAAACAGAGGAAAAAGGGCAAAAACAGGGCTTTTTTAACTTCGTGCCGAGCTGAGCCGAGGCTGCAGGGTGTGTGTTACTAACCAAACCTTAGTAGGCATTTTAACTTAGAGCTTTGTCTATTTGTCAAGTTTTCTGACTTAGGCATCGGAGAGGTTTCCGGCACACACCCGCCGGCTAGCTCACGTTTGTGTTTTCAGGTGACAAAGCGACGTCGTACGGAGGAGCGTGGACTTGGTCAACAGGATTATACGAGGAGAATTGCCTGGGCAACCTAAGTCTGCAAGGTAGAAAACAAAGGGGTTAAGCACAGATCGTTGGACCGCGCTACAAGTTATAAGCAAGATATACAAATCCTACTTCGGCTTAGTGGGCTGGTTCTACCTCGGTTCATCAGAACTTTTGTTAGCTCGGTTTTGAGCAGATCAGACCGGTCTATCGTCTAGGGGCAGCTTTCTGAGTTCGGTCTAAAAAACTAAGAAAGCTGGTTTAGCCCCAAGGCCTAAATCAGTTGTGGTATGAATAGAGTTACTTCGGTTAAGCCTCTAGGGGCGGCTTTCTAAGTTCGGGTTAAGAACCAAGAAAGCCGGCTTGGCCCCAAGAGCTTAGTTCGGTTGATAACCAAGGTTTCTAGTTTGCTATATTCAAAACTTGGTGATCTTATTTCGGCTAAAGCGGGTTAGGCTCTGGTAACCCCTTTGATCTTATTTCGGCCAAAGTTCTAGTTCGGTCATTAACTACAGAGACCTACCTATTTGGGGGCAAACAGGATCCTAGTTCGGTTGCTATGTGATTTTGGATCTAAAAGTGGTTTTCTACATAACAGTTCATACACACATGGAGTTCTACTGTTTTTTTTCATAAAAGTACAAAAGCAAAGCAGACAAATGAAGAAAAATGTTTTGCAAAAGCAAGTAGAACATGGAAAACGGAATATGAAAGCAAAACAAAGGAAAGGAAAAAGGATCGCTTACCAGGAAAAGATGAAGCAGAGGGCAGGAGCAACGGAACCAACGAAGAACACGGCAAGCTCAAAGCTCAAAAGCTCAGGAAACAGAGGAGAAGAGAAAGCGAAGAATGAAAGGTGCAGTGATTCAAGAAGTAGAAAGGTTGTTTTGTGAAAGAGGGGAGAGAAAAAGGCGGCAAAAAGAGGCGGGAATAGTACAAAATTTCTGCAGGACGGCGTAACAGTTGGCCACGGCTTATCAGAGCCTGCCACGTGTCACTGGAATGGGAAGCGTTACAGACGCTATGATTGAAGAGACGTTTTTTTTTTCCGGACAAAACGGAGCCCGAAGTAAAATTTAGCTCGGTTTAAAAGTTCGAGAGTTTTTAGCACGGCTGGAGAGGCTAAAGTATTTTTAGTTCGGCTGGAAATGCTTAAAACAGGTTCCAGCTCGGCTGGTGGACTGGTAATCCCAATCATGCAAGGCAGATGGAATTAAGGGGCAATTGAGAGGGTAATTTTTGGGAAAAATTGGGCCGAGCTACGAGTTGGGCTTTGAGGCCCAAAACACGAAGGACTGAGTAAAAAAGGCCGTAAAGGATACTCCGGCCCAGGAGAGCAAGGTTACTCCGGCAAAGTTACTCCGGCCCAAGGGGGGTGAAATTACTTCGGCTCACAAGTGATAAAGTTACTCCGGTTCAAAGAGCGATAGATTTATTCCGGTTCTAAGGAGATGTTGACTCACTCCGGCCCAAGGAGGTGAGATTACTCCGGCTCAAGAAGAGATAGTTGCTTTGGTCCAAGGAAGAGTAAAACTACTCCGGTCTGGAGGCAACTCACAGTTAGGCCGGTCTCAGTTAGTCCGGTCGCAGTATGTTCTGGGGAGGCCGGTTTCGGAATTAGTCCGGTCGTGGCTTACAATGGTTAGGTCAGTCAGAACTTGTTACTTGGAAGTTTGATCCAAGCACACCAAGGTTAACAGGGGCAGCCGAAGTAAGGAGTTAGAGGAGAAGACCGAGCTAGGGATAGTTCGGCCCTCTGTGGCTCGGTATAGCCAATTTTTACTTCGGTCAAATGGAAGTTCGGCCATAAAGAAAACTATCCCACTTGGTTTAAACAGTGGGGGAGGGTGTAAAAGGATAAGCATTATCCTTAGGAGAATGAATCCTAGGAGGACTCTGCATGGAGAAGTACAAGTCCTACTAGGATTGTACCACGGGAAACTTATAAAAGCTCACAAGTATCACCTTGGAGGAGGTAATTGAACACAATACTTTTTGAGAACATAAATCTTTGTCTATTTGTCAAGCTTTCTGACTTAGGCATCGAAGAGGTTTCCGGCACACACCCGCCGGCTAGCTCACGTTTGTGTTTTCAGGTGACAAAGCGACGTCGTACGGAGGAGCGTGGACTTGGTCAACAGGATTATACGAGGAGAATTATTTCCTCCCCGTACATATATTATGATTGTTATTTTAGTTATAACTGAAGATGTCTTTGGTTGGTTTTGATTATGACTCTTTATAATATTAGTTATAATTTAATTATGGTATATTATGATTATTATTTTGATTATGATTGAAAAATATCTTTGTTTGTGCTTGAAGTATGTATGGTTATGACATATTTTAGTGTTGATTATGATTTGGTTATAATATATTATGATTATTATTTTGATGCCTCAAATAATATTTGATTATGATTCATATGATCTTTTTAATTAAAACCAAAAGTAATTTAATTATGATACTCAATAATATCAAAATTAGAAAATGTCATAGATTTCCGTAGGGGTAGCTATATATATATATATATATATTTAGAAGAGTGCTTAATCTTGGGAGTCTATAGAGTACAGATTTAGGACTAAGATAAAGGGCTAGGAAAATGATTAGTCTGGAGGTTAGACAGAATAGGGGGAATGGCGTAGTAGTGCAAGCTGCCAACTTTTCAACGGTTAGTCTAGTGGTTGACAATTCTTTTCTTTTTTTTTGGGTGAATAGTGGTTGACAATTGAGAAGTTTGTTCTTGTTAAGTTTTAGATTCAAATACCCTACCTAACAAATACATATTTTAGGATCATGAACTACATAGCGGAAGCCTTATTTTAAAAGATTTATTTGACCCGTAGAAATTTAATTCGCATAAATTAATCTAGAATATCTTAAAATAAAAAAATAAAAAAAAAACTGCCCCCTTTTCATTGATTAGAAACAATAGTGATTTGAGCAGGTACTCGTACAACAGAGTAGAGGGTTCAATGATCATTCATTGACTTTTTTCACAGTAGAAGACTCTTTCCGTGATAAATATTTTTCAAAGGTTTAGGTGAACCCTTTATCATCAACACAGCGTCGCCCCTAATCATGTCAAGGCATAGAAATCATCCAACACAATAACAATCTTGGCAACATTATCTAAAAAATAATAATATTAGAAATCATAAAAAAAAAAATATCATGAAAATAATTATAAAAAAATTTTCACCGTTAAATTATATATATAATAAAACATCACACATTAATCAAAGGATAAAAAATTTTCATGAAACATTGCATGATATTTTTTTTTCATAATCCCTACTATTATTCTTGAAAAAATCGACAAGCTAGGACTAGATGCATGCACTAGGCTATTAACATACTAGAAAATGTTAACATCAGTGGTGATTTTGCTGGTATTTGGTCAGCTGTGGACTGTTGTTCTGTGTATCTATTGGTCTCTTACCAACAGATACTTGATTTGGTGCTACCATGTGATTGTGCGAGTTGCTTAGTGCCAATCTAGTGGGAATTCAACTGTCTCGCTATGATGGTCTTTGCATCATCCCCCTCCCCTTTGTTGGTGTTTTTTTCTTCCTTGTAAGGTTCTCTCATCATCAATAAAGTTTTCTTTGTTGTTGATAAAAAAAAACATACTAGAAAATGCAAGAAAGAAAGGAAACTAGAGGGTAGAGATAGAAATAGCTTAGATCTATTCCAAAAACACAGAGACTGGCATGGATCTATCCCAAATATGATCAAATGCATGACAATAGAATTTATAGTATAATCAACAATCAAATATATATGACATGTTTAGATACTAAGAAAAGAAAGTAAAGAATCAATTTCATTTTGGAGGTTTCAAACTAAGAGCAAAGGAGAGTGATGCACAAGTTTGAGAGTCTTCAACGAGTCATCTCTAATGGAGGTCCAAGATCCCGCTTTGAAATGGTGGACATGGTAGCTTTGTTGAAGAAGATGTGAGTCTTTAAGTATATTTTGACAAATTTTTGGTGCAATATGAGTCCTCTCTTCTTCTCAAGTTTTTTTTTCCCTCTTTTTTTTTTTTTGGGGGGGGGGGTGGAAAGAAAAATATATAGACTAAGGGGGTGATATATAGTCATATGATGTGTGTATATATTAGATATACATGCATTTGGAATATTCTAGCCTCTAGGGGACCACTATGAGAAACAATTATCAACCGGAAATTACTTGTGGCTACATATAACAACCTTCCGCCGCATGTTCTTGGAAGACCTAGAACTTGTGGCTGCGAGTTTTATTGGGTTGTTGGTCTATTTGCCCAAGTAATTCATCTTTTTCACAATTCGATTCAATTCTTGATTTGTTTTGAAAGAAATTCGATTTTTGACTTCTAAAAAGAAAAACTTGGGTTGTGTTTGGAAAGATTTTGGAACTTTAGTTCCACCCTTTAGTTTGCATATAACGTTTGTTTGCAGCTTTCAAAAATTAATTTCATGCTCACTTTTGAAAACTCGGTCGAATGTAGAAAAATTTGGGCTAACTGGTCG